ACAGGACAAAAATGTGAGGGTTCCCCTAATCAACAGCCCGACGATTAGGAACTTCTGGACGCATGTCAAAGGTCACAAGCGAACATTGAGCGCTTGATGTACAAGTTGATAAACTTTATGAAGAGTTAGACGTACAATACTTTCTGAGATAAACATGGCGGAAAAAGACGCGGGTAGTGGATAATCCGAGAATTTAATTAGGATTCGATATTTGTAATAAATAGTAAGCGATTAAAGACAACATCGTCTTATGAATGCAATGAAATCTCCTCCGACTCCCAAGACGTGACGTAAACATGACCTGGTTTGATCGAATTTAATAGCAGGGCATTCCTTCGCAATTACAATGTTTGAGAAGGATTTGAAGCATAATTATGACAAATTAACTAGTTTGAATATGTTTTTGGTCCATATATACCATTAAATCACCCAGTTTGTACGTGAGAACCCATCTTTAAATAATATTTAAAAGAAAATGCTTTAGCAGGCCAACTTTGAAATGAAATAATTTTGGGTTTGGTTATACTTTGTGCAGTTATCATTTGAATTTTTCGGACATTGACATTGTTGTATTTTGGTGTTTTAGATTAACACGATCAACACAATTTTGTTTTTTAGACAGTATTATTAATTAAGATTCGGAGGATTTGTGCAGATTGCATATATGACAACCCTCTTAGATTCTTGCAAAAAAACCCGAATTTCTAGCCCTGCATCAAGGCATCGACCTAATAAACACCTACACCAAGTTTGAACATTCTAGCTCAATTAGGAGAGTTATTGTGTCCCAAAAAGTGTGACGGACAGACAGATGGACGAACCTATTTTAATAATCCCCTGCTTTCTTCGAAAGGCGGAGGACAATTAGTGGTGAAATGAATGTCATCACACTGACTTTAAGGTCATAGCACTTTTATATACTTATTTTACTTGCTCTTTATACTTTTTAATTCTTTGTTAGTAGGTGATAATGAAGACAAGGAATATCAATCCCCTTTCCATTTGTCAGTTCAAAGCTCTAATTAACTTTAACCAGCGGCTGTCAGGCAGGATACGCCCACATTTTGCAAGAGATGGATAGAGAACAAGCCAAAAACAAACGTGATTTTTTTTGTACAATCAGGGGCAATAATCCAGAAAGTTATGGCCTGAAATGTGCAAATATCAAAAGTTACTAAGATCTTTGGGATATAAAGACATGTTTTAAGTTTCATCAAAATCGGATAAAAATTGTGACCTCTAAAGGGTCCACAACGTTCGTATTACACACTTATACACAATTTGCATACAAAGAGCGGCCATTTTGTTGGGCAGTTTCATAATCCAGAAAGTTATGGCCTGAAATGTGCAAATATCAAAAGTTACTAAGATCTTTGGGATATAAAGACATGTTTTAAGTTTCATCAAAATCGGATAAAAATTGTGACCTCTAAAGGGTCCACAAAACGTATTACACACTTATACACAATTTGCATACAAAGAGCGGCCATTTTGTTGGGCAGTTTCATTTCGATTTTCCCGAAATAAGACTTAACCTTCATTATGTTGGAATGGTGATGTATTTAACCGGTTTTTAAAAATGGAAAAAAATTGTGAGCTCTAGAGAATCCGCAAGCTAAAAATGCGATTTTTTGAACTAGCAGGGACCATAATCCAGGAAGTTAAGTTCGGATATCCGCGATTATCAAAAGGAACCAAGATCTTAGTGTGTAATGGTGATATATTCACACGTTTTTTTTTAAATCGGATAAAAATTGTAACCTCTACAGGGACCACAAGCTAAAAAGGTGATTTTTTGTTCAATCAAGGGCAATAATTCAGGAAGTTACGATTCGATATGCGCGAATATCGACAGGAACCAATATCTTTGGGTTATAACCATGTATTTCAAGTTTCATCGAAATCGGATCAAAATTGTGACCTCTAGAGGGTCCACAACTTTGATTTACCAGATGTTTACACTATTTGCGTATGAGGGGAGGCCATTTTGTCCAGCAGTTTTGGCTTGATCTTCACGAAATTCGAAGTCAACAAACATTACGGTGTAATGGTGATATATTCAACCATTTTTTTAAAATCGGATAATAATTGTGAACTCTAGTAGGACCACAAGCTAAAAACACGATTTTTCGTACAACCAGGGGTCATAATTCAGGAAGTTACGATTCAATATACACGGAAATAGAAAGGAACCAAGATATTTGGGTTATAAACATGCATTTCAAATTTCATCAAAATGAAATTATTGTGACCTCCACAACCCTGATACACAATATTTTGACACTATTTGCGAATGAGGGGCGGCCATTTTGTGCGTCAGTTTCGGTCCGACTTTTTACGAAATTCGAACTGAACTATCCTTAGGGTGTAACGATGATATATTCAAATGTTTTTTTTAAATCGGATAAAAACTGTGGCCTCTATGGTGTCCACAAGCTAAAAACATGATTTTTCGTACAATCAGGGGCCATAATTCAGGAAGTTATGGTCTGATATGCGCGACTATCAAAAGGAACTGAGATCTGTGGGTTATATACATACATTTCAAGTTTAAACCAAATCGGACAAAAATTGTGACCTCTACAGTGTTCACAAGCTAAAAACGTGATTTTTCGTACAATCAGGGGCCATAATCCATGAAGTAACAGTCCGATACATGCCAATATCGAAAGGAACCGAGATCTTAGGGTGATAAACCTATATTTCAAGTTTCATTGAAATCGAATAAATATTGGGACCTGTAGAGTGTTCACAAACAATTGTGGTTGGACGGACGGACAGGGGCGACGACAATATACGTCCACATGAAAATGTGGGCGTATAAAAAGTGATATTTAGTGGACACAGCAGCTAACTCCACCTTGTAACAAAGTGAATCTACAAATGGAGTTAAACCAAACACTCCAATTAACTTATCAAAGTTGGCGGAAAAAATACTAATATCTTGCTCCTGGCATCGCTTGTCTTTGATTAATATATTTCTGTATTTTAAACTTTTTGAACACATACTTTCCCATTCTAGATCTTCTTTTTCATCATCGTCATCAAAATCATCTAAAATATCATCTTCATTACCATCATCATTAAATAAATCTATACCCGGTACTATCTTCTTTTTAGTTGGAGTATCAGGCGGCCTCTCTAAAGATGTTGGCCGATCTAATAACAGTCAGTGAACATAGTCATTCAATATAGCTAAGAATAGATAGCTCTATATCTGATCTGATAATTTATCTATAAACATGCATTAAAGCCCAATTTCATGATGTTTTGTTATCTTTAAATAATTTCTGTTTATGTTACTGAAATGAAACCTTAAAAAACTGGCACTAAACATTTAAATCAGAAATAGTTCAATATTGTTAGAATTGATGACATTTTTTAAAACATTAATCTAAACCTTCACTTTATTGTAAAATAACCTTTGTTTTTTTAAAAATCATAAAACATGATCATATCTTCAACACAAATAAATTAACAGATCAGATCATACTAGAAGAAAAAGTATCCAAGCAAGCCAACTACCAAAAACAGAAAATGAACTTTACTGATCACATTGATACAGTGGACTCTGTCACATCCGATGTCTGATCACTCCGTATTGCTGTGACATCCAACATGATTTTCATGTCCCGATTTATTTCCTTATTACTTCAGCCCAAAAATCGCTGGTAAATCCGGATTCTGTATGTTCCGGATTACGACATCAATCAGCCGTCCCGTCACATAATTTCCATTGAATCGACACCGTATAATCCGTACTTTAAACGGTGGGTGTGAAGCATCCAATTATCGGTGAAATTAAAACTCAATGGGTGTGTGAAGCCAGAAAAAAATTAACAAGCAATCACCAATCAATTATCGGTGAGATTAAAACTCACAAGTGCCGGTCTGTGTTGATTACTTTGATAATGTTATAAATTCTTTGTTGATTATTTTACAATTTATAATCTCTTGTAAGAGTGCGCTTGGTATTTGATTTTAGTTACTCATGTCAAATACTGCGACATTATATAAAAATTGCCGCGATTGAAGAATCATTATACATTATTGTATTCAAAATGTCTGAACGCCCTGCAAAGCGTGCCCGAACAGATTTCACATTAGATGTAAAGCGGCAACTTATAGCAGATTTCGAGAAAGTTCTACGACTTGCGCACAAGGAATTAGCCGTTAAGTATTCAATTGGCCGAGCTACAGTGTCAGACATATTAAAGCATGCATTGATATTACATGTAAATGATTTTATGAATATATTGTACGTATGCATTGTTATTTATTTAATGTAATAAAATTTTGAAAGTACAGAAAGGTTTATCATTTTTAAAGGGAATATATTCTGGTGATTCGAGGCTACAATATAAAAATACTTCCGGTTTTCGAAGTTACAGTATTTCCGGTTTTGGAGAAAGCTCGGTATTCCGACACGCTGTGTGATCCGAAATATTGTAACGATCCGGTACGATGTCGTATGTGACAGAGTCCACTGTATATATAACTTTGAAATTGTAAAATTGTAAAATTTTGACTTATTACTAAGCTCTCTTAGAAATCATACAAATACCATAATGGCAAGTTTCCCCATAACATAAGTCAACATTATGCAAACTGATGCTAATTTCCAAAAAGAAACCATTTGGTTAACTATCAGGAAGAAGTGATGTAACCAATTTTTATCAAATTTATTTCATCAAAGATAGTGGGGAACTCCACCTTCAAAGGATTTAGGTTAATTCAGTTTCAAATTAAAATGTCTCAGTGTATGTATTTCAATTTAAATCTCTATAAAGTTCATTTATTTTGTTTTATGAAAGTAAACAATTTCTCAAAGGTTTAAAGACCTGCAATTATTCCTATATTAAGCTCTACAACATTGATATTAAAAATTAGTGACCGAAACCCTGCAAAAGAAAGTGTGAGCAAGACGATTAACATGTCTTTAGCAAATAAAATCTATTAGATTATACCCCATTTCAAATAAAAATAAATACCAGACTTACGACAACTGTCATCCCGAGCACAGATTTCTTCCACAGGGGGACGACTCTCTTCACCATCCACCAATGGGGGCAAATCATCATCCTGCCATTCTTCTTTGTGTGAAATATCTTCATCTGTTATCTGTTTAAAATAAATGAATGATTAATGTTCTTCCATTTCAGGAGTCACAGAGGATCAGTGAGTAAGGCACTGGCTGAGTAGCCTGGAGTTCCTCTGCATTTTCCAGCCTTGTTTTATATCGTTAGTAGTGCATGTAAAAGGGTTTGGAAAGGAACAGCATCTAGTCATTCAGATGGGCCACAAAAACAAACATTCTGCGATGTCTTAACCACAAAAAAAAGATGTATCTCAATTAATTGATTGGCTGTAAATGGTAATGTCATCAGAAACTAAACCAAACTAAATAACATCTAGAAGTAATTAGCCTAGATTGAAAGATGTAAAGCCAAAATAACATCTAGAAGTAATTAGATTGAAAGATGTAAAGTCAAAATAAGATGCAATTTAGGCCACACAAATTTGATCTTTAAGAATGCGTTTGCGAGAGAACCATGCAGGGACCGGCACATGGTGGGTGACCGATTTTCACCATTTTTTTTATGTATGATGGATAACCCCTCCAAACTCCACTGCCACAATTTTAGATCAATCAAACCATTTTTAGAGCGTAGAAAAAAATTAGAAATTTTAAGACCGAAAAGAGCCAAAAAATTAGAAATTTTAAGACCGAAAAAAGCCAAAAAATCATCATTTTCAGACCACTTTTCGATTATTTCGTACAACTAAACTACGGCGAGTAGATTAATGAAACTTTATAGCGTAGCAGATATGGTTAGTATGAAAACATTTTGAAAGTTTGATGGATTTTCATGGAGCGGTTTTTGGTACAGGGACTTATTGCTGCAAGGTACCAAAATAGCTCAATTTAGGTATGTCATTTTATTCTATCTATATCTCACCCACTGCGGGTTTAAGTATTTTTTTGGAATGCTGACTGAAAAGGCAATGATCTATAGTATTAAGATCAAGAAAAAAATTGGGTGGCACTCAACCTGTTTAGTAGTAAATAATTTCCATTTTTGTACAAAAATAACGAAACATAAACCGCTTTATTTATACACTGAAAAGTGTAACATGGCACTTGAAACCAAATTAACGTGGTTTCCAGTTCCATCAACAGCAAGCCATAATAAAAATAGAAATAAACAAATAAATATAAACGCAGAATATATACTTTCATCAAAAAATTCAAGTTTAAAAAATGTTCCATTATCAAAACTACAATTACTTATTTCTATCTATCTAGCGCTATCTATCTATCTATCTAGCACTATCTTCTATCTATCTATCTATCTATCCAATAAGTATCTAATCACGAAAACTGAGCTCACAATTACACCGTTAAAATTTTCAAACAATGAAGTTTGAAAAGCTTACTTTACTGTAGTAAATGCAAAAAATAAAGAGCTGTTCTTGGTAAATACAATTAATCTCTCTAGACTATTTTTCAACACTTTATTAATTCGGCAATATAATCTCATGATCTAGTAGAAGGATGATGAATGTTTGGACAGCAAATCGTAAAAACTAAATAGTGTACTAGTCATATACATCTGTCTATACTTGACAAACGAATCAAGCGATATTTCAAAAAGACAAAAAACAAATTGTATATGAGCGTAAGGTCACTATTTTAGCATACTCCCCATAGTATTTCGTTTGATTAGACCTAATCCCACTCAACACTGCCGTAGTGAAAGCAAATTTCTGTTCCAAATTATGATTGGTCAATAGTCAGATTAACAAACAATACCTAACCGCGTAACAATATCATTCTGGTTTAAACAGAGTTTCAATTATGTTAAGAATGCGTTTGCAAGAGAACCATGCAGGGACCGGCACATGGTGGGTGACCGATTTTCACCATTTTTTTTATGTATGATGGGTAACCCCTCCAAACCCCACTGCCACAATTTTAGATGAATCGAACAATTTTTAGAGCGTAGAAAATTTTTTGAAATTTTAAGACCGAAAAAAGCCAAAAAATCATCATTTTCAGGCCACTTTTCAATTATTTCGTACAACTAAACTACGGCGAGTAGATTAATGAAACTTTATAGCGTAGTAGATATGGTTAGTGAGTATACATTCTGAAAGTTTGATGGATTTTCATGGCGCGATTTTTGGTATAGGGACTTATTGCTGCAAGGTACCAAAATAGCTCAATTTAAGTATGTCATTTTATTCTATCTATATCTCACCCACTGCGGGTTTAAGTATTTTTTTGGAATGCTGACTGAAAAGGCAATGATCTATAGTATTAAGATCAAGAAAAAAATTGGGTGGCACGCGACCCGTTTAGTAGTAAATAATTTCCATTTTTGTACAAAAATAACAATTTTCAACAAAAATGACGAAAAATAAACCGCTTTATTTACACACTGAAAAGTGTAACATGGCACTTGAAACCAAATTAACGTGGTTTCCAGTTCCATTAAGAGCAAGCCATAATAAAAATAGAAATAAACAAATAGATATAAACGCAGATTATATACTTTCATCAAAAAATTCAAGTTTAAAAAATGTTCCATAATCAAAACTACAAATATTTTTTTTACTATCTATCTATCTATCTATCCAATAAGTATCTAATCACGAAAACTAAGCTCACAATTACACCGTTATAATTTTCAAACGATGAAAAGCTTAATTTATTGTAAATGCCAAAAGAGCTGCTCTTGGTAAATACAATTAATCTCTCTAGACTATTTGTCAACATATTATTAATTCGGCAATATAACCTCATGATCTAGTATAAGGATGATGAATTTTTGAACAGCAAATCGTAAAAACTAAATAGTGTACTAGTCATATACATCTGTCTATACTTCACAAACGAATCAAGCGATATTTCAAAAAGACAAACAACAAATTGTATATGAGCGTAAGGTCACTATTTTAGCATACTCCCCGCAGTGTTTAGTTTGATTAGACCTAATCCCACTCAACACTGCCGTAATGAAAGCAAATTTCTGTTCCAAATTATGACTCGTCAATAGTCCGATTAACAACCAATACCTAACTGCGTAACAATATCATTCTGGTTTAAACAGAGTTTCAAATATGTTAACATAACGTTACGTCATGATTCACAAAATTTATTGCGCCCAATTAACCGGTGCATAGCAGAATATTGCAGAAAAACTAATTGCGTGACAAACTAGGCTATCAACATGGCTACAATGTAAACAATACTGTTTGGAGACGAACAAAACTTTCACCGTTTTTAATACCTTAAATCACTGTCCAAAGTTTTAGGGAAGACCCCAGATTAAAAGAAAGACTTTACTTAGGAGCGATTTGATTGAACGGGAAGAATAGACACTCCCCCAAAAACGTAAGTATCAGAAGTCAATCCAGCAATGGCCAGAGTGGCATTTCTCTGGCTATTGCTTCAGGAATATGCTATTATAGTTTCTTTCGGATAACTGGCTACTAAACCGCATTTTATTTGTGCAAAAGACGGGAAAATGAACAGCTGATTTCATCCACCATCTTGGATGCTGGAGTGCAAATCTAACTTCGGCCTGACAAATATACTATTCAAAAAAAGTAGGGGATATTTGATTTTGGGGGCATAATACTAAAATATGCAAATGACTACGAAAAAAGTCACTATAGAACCTAACAGAAGAAACATTTCCAGTTACATGTGACGCCCAAATGCACCAATAGCTACCGCATGGAATGCAGGTCATGCTTGGGATCATCATGGGGATCCAACCCAAGATTTGCACGACTCTGACTTTGAATGTTACAGTCATTGTGGCATTGAATTCCAGGGTGGAAACATCAGTTTAATTGTTTTAGTGACCAGAAAACAAATTTTGATATGCATTGGCTTACCCAAAATGAAAGGTTACGTGCCCTTGGCATGCTACAGATCGGCACAACACAGGCGGTTGTGGCGCGGACGATGAATGTTTCTCAGTCTGTCATAAGCAGGCTATGGTCCAGATATCGTGATACACAATCTGTACAGGACAGACCACGCTCAGGTCGACCAAGGGCGACAACTCAAGCCCAGGATCGATTTATCCGTACCTTGGCCTTGAGAAATCGTGTCATCACAGCAAATCAGATCAGCGCTCGTCTTCAAACAGACACTGGTGTGAGAGTGAGTGCCAGACGATTCGGAATCGACTGCATAGGGGTCACCTTCGCGCCCGACGTTTGAGAGATCATCACATTCAGGCAAGACGTCGTTGGTGTAGGGATCGTCAACACTGGGATAATCGACGCTGGAGCAATGTGATGTTTTCAGACGAGTCAAGGTTCACTGTTGATTTTTGGGACAGACGAAGGAGGGTGTGGCGTCGTCGAAACGAGCGCTTCCAAGACGTTAACGTCATCAGACATGATCGATTTGGGGGTGGTTCTGTTATGGTGTGGGGAGGCATCACTGTTGCTGGAAGAACGGCTTTACATGTTGTTGCAGGGCATGTTACAGGCCAGTACTACCGGGACAACATCTTGGCAGTCCATGTTGTGCCGTTCGCACGACGTCATGGCCGCCGTTTCATCTTCCAGGATGACAACGCAAGATGTCACAGGGCCAGGATCGTTACAGGTTACCTCCAACAACAGAACATCACCACATTACCTTGGCCAGCACTGAGTCCCGACCTCTCCCCCATCGAGCATGCCTGGGACATGCTTGGACAGAGGTTACGTCAACGTCAACAACGTCCTGCCAATGTCCAAGAACTTGCTGCTGCGTTGCAACAGGAATGGGACAATCTGGACCAAAATGACCTTAGACGTCTCATTAGGAGTATGCCACGTCGGATCAATGCTTGTTTGGCAAACAGAGGAGGATTTACCCGTTACTGACTTGGTTGTGATGCTGTGGTAACTTTGCTGTTTGACCCCGGGTATCATTTTACCCTTATAATGGTCAATCTGTGCCTTACTTAGTCTAACGATCATTTGGAATAAATCGATGAATGTGAACTTCATTTCATTTTGTCATTTGTTTCTTCGTCAGTTTCATTAGGTGACTTTAATAACACTTAAAAATCAAATATCCCCTACTTTTTTTGAATAGTATAATAATAATA